GCCTGCTGGAGACCGCCAAGGCGCAGCTGGAGGCCGCCGGGCAGAGCGGCTGACCTGGCGGACTGGACCGAAAGACCAGGCGTCACAAAGGCGGCCGTTTTCTCGGATAGAATGCGCGGCGACGACAGGATTCGACGGCGCGCCGCGCACGCTGTGGCAGAGGAAGGAAGTTGTGGGGCGTGGTTGCTATGGGCCCAAACCTTCAACCCTGGTAACAACGCGAGCCCTGAGCCCGAAATCTACTGTGCCGTATTGCAACGTGGGCAATCTCAATGTGAGGGGTGGGCAGCCTTGCAAATGGGGAGGCTGCCGTGGGGCGTCACCTGCCGTACTGGGCCAGGGCAAAGGTGCAGCAAGGCGCGAGGAGTGGATGGAAAAAAGCGGGCGTTCCACCTACGACGAAACTCTAGTTGAGGGCTGCTGGTGCAGAGCGAGTTTAGGGGCCCAGACGGCGACTGCCGCAGCTATGCCAGCGGCCGCAGCAACGCCGTTGTGCAGAACATAGTAGGGGCACGCATCAAGCCCAGGGACCGGCACCCGTTCATGCGCGCCGCCGCTCCACAAACACCGCCGCCACGCGGCCCGGCACGTCCACCACCCCGCGGACCACGTCCGCCTGGCAGCCGGCCAGCGCGTCGTCCTCCCCCGCCAGCTCAGCGAGCACAGGGTGCAGCTCCAGCCCGCGCACGCCCGCGGGGAACGGCAGCCGCGCCGCTGCCGGCCGCGCGTTGATCACCACCACGACAGACGCGAGCTCCGGGTCGTACGTGCCGTGATCTGGAGATCTGGCGCTGATCAGGCGCATGCAGATCACGCCGGGGATTTGGTCGGGGCCGGTGTTTTCAAACACGACCTGCTGCTTGATGTCTGAGGCGCGGGGCATCCTGAACAGGGGGGACGAGTAGCGCACCCTCAGGAGGGCCCGCACGTACGCGGCCGCCGCGGCGATGACGGCCGGCGGGGGCTTGTAGGCGGCCACCGCGGCGAGCAGGGGGCGCTTCAGCGGCCACGCGTGCTGGTTCTTGGACGCGGGCGGCAGGCCCTGCAGGGGTCGGGCGGTGGTGGAGGGGGGGCTCGCGTTGCCAGGGGTGCGGTCTCAGCTGGGGAAGGCAGGCGTGCACAAGGCTACGGCACAACAAGGGCCCCCTGCTGGGGCCGTGGCTGCGACGCAGCCGCGCATGCGGCCCTGCGCCGCGCGCACGTACCGCGTTCCCCGCGCCGGCCCGTGTCTCCGCCTCCCGTTCCCCGCTCCAATCCTGCAGGTGTGCAAAGCGCACTGCCCTCCATGCGCCTCCGCCTCCCCTCGCCACACCACCTTACCCCATCCACCGCACCACGCCACGTCGCCACACCACGCCGCGCCGCCACGCCGCATCACCAAGCCCTGGCACCCGCCCTCAACCGCTTGCAGCCCGCCCGCGCGACCCCGGAACCCTGCGAGCCCCCAACAAAACCCCCAGTCCCAGCCCTCACCACCCCGAAGTTGTTGCACTGCCCGGTCCAGTCTATGCGATTGAAGTGGTCCCCGCTGTTGTAGCTGTCCCGGTCCAGGGACTTTGACCGCAGCAGGTCGTCGCCCGCGTGAACAAAGGGGACGCCCTGGGACAGCAGCGGCAGCGCCAGGGCCAGGCGGCACATCAGCGCGCGCTCCTCCGCGCCGGCGCGCGCCGCGGCCTTGAGCATGACCTGGCGTCATGGTGGGGTGGTCGGTGGTTGGGGTGACGCAGGGTTGGTGGTGAAGTTCAGGTTGAGGGGCTAAGCAGGCCTTGGGGAGGGGAGGGGACGTTCGCATGTGTGCGGCCCGCAGAAAGCGTGGGTACGAGGCGCAGAGTTTTGAGTGCAGTCGAGCGGTGCGGGTGCCCGGTGCGACGCTGCGTGCAGCGACAGCCACGGGGGCCGACCAAGGTGCGCGGCACCGGCATTCTGGCAGGTCAGGCAGTCAGGCTGCGGCTCTCGCCCCTGCCTCGCCTGGTCAAAGACGGTCTCGTTGTCGTGGCAGCCTGCGGGATCGGGCGGACACGCGCAGCGCGGGCGCGGGGCGGGCCGCGTCTGTCTGCTGGCGGCGGCGACGGGCCAAGATCAAGCGGGCGAGATGCAGCAGCGGCTCCAGGCGCCGCGTCGACCGACTCGGGCGCCCCTCCCACAGCGGCGCCAAGCCGGCCCGGGGGAAGTGGATTCGCTGATCCGTTTCTGCCAACCCCGTTTTCTCACGTCACTTTCCTCCCACCGCCCCTGTCCTCCTCGGACCACTTGTTGATCGCCACCGACCAACGCGCCCGCCCCCCCCCCCGGCCGCAGCATCGCGTTGGGTTGGTCACCCCTGGACTCCCCATGCCCCTGGACTCCCCAGGGGGTCTGGCCCCGGCCCACCGTTGTACACTACGTTCTCGCAGGGGTCTGCGCCGTAAGCCAGGGGCTGCGTGGCGTGGTATGTGGCGCGGCGCCCCTGGACCGCGCGGCCGTCATCCAGCACCAACTCGTAGTCCCTGGTTAGGGGGGGGGGGCGCGGGGGACTGGTGTAGAAGAGGTGCATATCAGCCCCACACATGTAATTCTATGTGTGTTTGCACCTCGGCATGCGCGAATACATGTATCTTCAGGACAAGGACTCTTGAATCCGACTAGGAGCATGAGGGCATGATCAGGCAGGTCAATACTGCAGCAGGAAGGGACAGGCTGGGACGAGCAGGGGTCTGAAATCAGGCAGGGGAGGTGCGGCGCCCGGGGGCAAGGAGGGAGGGCTGCAGAGGCGGGG